TTTTAGTGCATTAAAAAATACGTCAAATTTGTATTTTTTTATTTACAAATACACTTTTTAGTTTACACATAGTTTTTATTATTACAGAATATTTTTAAACAGCCAGTTTAACTTCAGGCAAAAAAACCTGCTTTAAAAGTATTTTCTTTTTTTCTTTTCTTTCGTCGGAAATGCACTAGCAACTCTAAAACAAACTGTGAAAAATGTTTTTAGGTGATAGCACACCGAAGCGAAGACATAAAACTTAAAAAACTCATTTACTTATTCGTCTATATAAGCTACATTTTAAGAGGCTGTGTCTGTATTGCGATAGTGTGGAGATATAGGTAATAGAGCGGCTTGGATTTTGATCCATCTAATGAACTGAAGAAATTGATACTAAAATTTTATGTTACGTATCCTTTTATTTCAAATTTACAGCATAAGTTGAGGTTTAAGGAATTATCAGTTAAACCTGATGTTACATACAACCATTTTTCTCTGAAAATTCGAGAATATGTTTTAAATGTTCAATCAGTATACATTGAAAAGCATAGCAAATGCTGTTCAAGTATTGCGAACCTTTCGTTACAGTTGCTCTGTACTTTTTAAGTACCAGTTATTTTTAAATGTGTTTAACTTTCTCGTTTGTTTTGCATTAATAATATATTTTAGTTTTAATCATAGAACGCAGATAAATTCTTCTAGAAACGCAGATAAATTTTTAAAAGTTACTTAAGCTTCTACGTAATCATAGTCATAATGTGTATTATAACGTACTAATCTGAAAATTGTTAACATGCTTTACTTTTACAGTTCACAAGCAGAAATAAAAATAAACATTTTCAATAAAATCGATTAAATTTAAGTATGTTAAGGAGTCCGAATACCGTAGTTAAATACAGAGACATCTGGTGGCAGTAAATGCAGTTGATCACCGAACTTCCGTACGAGCAAAACCAATACAGTAAGTACACTAGTTATCATAAATTAAGAAAAAATCACAAAAATCACGATTACTGAAAAAGTTACATGTAAAATTTTATGAAACTTACCCACAATATACAACACATAGTAAGGTATCAATAACATAAAAAGAAATTACCAGAGAAATATGGTACTATAGAAATTAGCACATGTATAAAATGAACAAATCGAAAGTGTCAGTTTGCTATAGAAAAAGTACCTTCAATAGGGAATATAGTCGCCTCTAGAAGCAATACAGCGCATACAGTGATGCGTGATGCTTTCAATTATACGGTCTCTTAGTTTCATAGGAAGCGAGAGCAATTGCTCTTGCAAAGCTGTTGGAAGCGCGACAAGGGTCTGAGGGGGCAGACTGAGAGCAGCTAGATGTCTCTCTAAATCATCCCAAACGTGCTCGATAGGATTCAAGTCCGGGGATCGAGCTGGCCACTCCATGCCCATAATTGTTTCCTGTTGAAGATAATCATTTACGATGCGAGCCCTGTGTGGTCTTGCGTTGTCGTCCTGTAACAGGAAAGCATCACTTATTGCCTCAGACACATGGGCGCACATAAGCATCAAGGATGTCATCTCTATAAACATATAAGCATTCACGGGTTTTCCTTGGAAAATCGTGGAGGTCTGTGCGTCCACCCAAAGAGATGCCACCCCAAACGCAGACACTGCCTCTTCCGTACGCATGTATCTCTTTCACGGATGTTTGACGGATGATAACGGGTTCCAGGTTCTCTCCATATCAAATAACGCCTACTATCGCTTTCTAGACTAAACCTGGACTCATCCGTAAAGAGAATAGCCCTCCATTGCTGAGGCGTCCAGTGGACATGTTGTCGTGCCCACTGCAAACGGTCCCTGCTATGGCGTGACTTGAGCGGCACGCAAATGGTTGTTCGCCTCGCATACAAACCACATTCGTGAAGCCTTCTACGCACAGTTCACGTTGACACCAACCTTCCAGTGGCTGCAGCAAGGAAGGATCTAAGATGAGTCGGAGTAGCGGTTCTATTCCTGAGTGCACAAAATGTCAAATATCGGTAATCGGTGCTCGTCGTAGCAGTTGGCCGTCCTTGGCTGAACCTCCTAGGTGCCGAATCTGTGATTTGAAATTGCCTCCAAAGTCTATGAACCACAGAAGGACTCCCATTCAGCCACCTGGCCACTTCTGCTTGACTTTGTCCTGCCTCTAGTCTCCCAATGGCTTTCTATCGTAGTTCTGCAGGCAAATGATGTCTGGAGATCATTGTTAAGAATCGGCTATCTCAGATTTTTGATGTTCCTATAGCAGTGAAATATGTGGGCTTGCTCTCAAACATGGACTTTTATGATCTTCGCAGATGACGTATTCCGAGTGCAGCGCCATTAATTTGCATATTGGAAGTTTACTCAGCTACTCTTACTTGGCAACATATTCAAATTTTACACGGTTTGGCTTATTTTTGAGGGAGTTATCGCTATTTTTGTGATTTTTCCTTATTTTATGATAACCAGTGTAGTATGAACAGTCGGTTTGAATTCGTTTTTTTCTCGATGACGCAACTCGTTCGCACTACAGTACTGGAGATGGTGCTTTACACCCCAAAGGTACGTGATAAGGAAGGAGAAAATTACATCTCTTCAGTTATCTGAGACATTCATTCCTGAAGATACATGATGCCTTTCGTGAACTAAGCCATTTTCATTAGTTACTGCAGAACTACCATTTTTACAATTAAACGGTACTTAAAATCTACTTCGGTTATAGAAAACCATTTCAATAAAATTAGACTTATTAAAATATTTACTCAGCGCTAACAAACTAATTAACGATAATAAAGTTACGAATATTTAAATTGTTTATTCATTAGTTAATTATTTAATTTGTTAATATTTCTCCAATAAATGTGAGTATCATAATTAATTAGCCGTTTGAAATAAGAAATTTATTTTAAATGAAAATATGTTAAGATTTTTTTTAAAAATTCAGCGTTTTAAAAAGTAAACTTCTAAATCTAGTGACGTTCTTGCACGAGAACGCTCACTAGATTTGGTGCAGCAGGTATCGAAAAAATGCATTAACATATTTCACGTAAGGGATTAAGGTTTAGTATTTCGATTTTTGCCTTTATTAATTCAATGGCTTAGTCTCTATAGCTCACTCTTGGTTTATTTAATTATGGCAAGGCACTCAAGTGCTATCTTCCTAAGTAAGGGAAAGGAATGCCTTCGTGGAGTAGTACTTTCTAAAGGAAACTGGCTCATATATTCCTTACACATGAGGAAAACCCCGAAAACGCCCATGTAGCCAGGCTGTTCGTCAGGATTCGAACTTCGCACCGAATTACCAATGTTAAGCGATGTAACCGCTCGGACACTGGTGTGCCTGTAGCTCAGTCACAGTAGCTCATTACGTTACTCTCAGTTGGTTGATGACTACCTACTCATTAATAACGTGTGTTATCAATTCAGTTGTCAGCTTGGTATATTTTCAGCAGCAACACCATCTCTAAATGTGCCAAATATGTTCTGCCGAATAGGTCGCATTATAGAACATCGAAAATCTTCGAAACCGTGTTTGGTTATTCCTTCTTTTAATTGTTATCCATATTTAGTGGTACTTCAAGATCTACCGGAGATGGTGTTATTAATGAGAAGGCAATAAGAAGTCAGTTCTGCAAGATGGAGTTATTTCAAGGAGTTAAAAAATTTTAACTTACAACATTTTGCTCGTAAAAACTAAGAGACTATAAACATAATGTCCTCAGTCCTCAATAATTTTATCTCCCTCTACACAATTAGCTAATTAAAAACATATATTCCTAATAGTATATATATTATATAGTTGCTAACCTTAAACTAACTTGGAGATCCAAGCGCAGAAACTTGAAGTTTTTACGCCACTATTTAAAAGAACACCGAATTGACTTGAATTCACTTCATAATGCATAATCCAGGTTGCTGAACTATTTACAAAGTGATTCTGATGTAAAAGCACACCAATGATAGAGGAGTAAAGTCGCTGAACGCTGGCAGTTCGGTCCGGGGTTCAAAACCCGGCGAACGGGCTGGCAGCCTGGCCGTCTTCGTGCTTTCCGTGTATGTAACCTGCATACAAACAGCTTCCCTCAGTAAGTCCTCCACGAAGGCATACATCTCTTTAGGCAGATAGCCCTGGAGTACTTTGCCGTAAGTAAATAAAAGAAACTAAAGGATTTTGATATAAAATATATTTGTTTGGGAATCGGGTGCTCACTCGTGCGTGGCGCCTGGCACTGAGCTCCCATGAGCCCCCTTATGGGTGCCATTTCTAACATTAGTTAACGTCTGCGCTACCTCAATCAACAATGGTACATACTATAGAGGTGCTGCCTTAGCTTCATATTATGTTATAAATTTAACTGATATTTAATTAGATATTCTACACTTTATGATCTTTGTCTAATTTTATTTTGTAATTATCTTTCACATTTTACTTCGAAAATTTCAACGAGGAAAGAAAAGCTTTTATTCATAAAAGTACTTTTAAAAATGTGATGAAAATAAAAATAATAATTAATGTACACGTGGATAATTTGGTAATGTATCATATATTCATCAAAATCAAAATTATCTATAAATATTAATCAATAAACACTTGTTGAATTTTCATAAAATTTTCTACAAAGGTCTGCAGCAGATTAAAACGATTTAGATCAAAGAAAGTTTAAAAAGAAAAATTATGCTGAAATTCACTAAAAGCGAGAAAATGGAATTTGCACAATTTAAGTTTTATTAATTCAGTAAATTTCGTTTACTGCTGAAAAACACTTTTGACTGTAAAGGCTAAAATCAAAAATCATGAGATTCGGTGATCTACCCGGAGACTAGGAGATAAATGAAAAATCGGCACAGATAGCACTTAAGATATTAGGCAGAATGTAAGCTACAGAATTAATCCCATATTTCTTCTGAAGTTCTTTCTGAGCACTATTTAAAAAATATATAATCGAGAAAAGGTTATGAAGAATAGTTACGATTAATACTTCACGCCATCTTAATGACGAATATTTTTAAATTACCTGTCTGAATCCTCCAGAATTGAGAGCTTCTCTTCTAGACTGAAGAAGGAAAAGCAAATCTTGGTGACTGAGACAAAGTTCGTGGCTCACTCTGCAGTTCACTCCCTGCGGAATCAAAAGCGAGATATAAAATAAAATAAAATAAGTATATATATGAAAAAAAAGAAAAGCATGAGAAATAGGCACTGGTTCAAATAATAAATGTTAAGTTTTTTTTTCATGCTTTTTAATTTGCTATTTATATTAGAGTCCTGGTCTCCATTATAGTTTGAGTTATTTATTAAATGCAATGAAAGCCTATTATTTAAATGCAACAAATGGCAATTCAATATCCAAAGTAATAATAAATTTCCAAATACATATATATTTTTCAAAGGTCCAAAAAGGGTCAAGGTCCAAAAATTTGACATTGTTTGGGACTTGGAAATGTCGGCTTATTTGTATGATTTTATATAATGTGGTAAAACGGATTTTGTAATGAAGAATGAAATATTAGAAATATTAGAATATAATAAATATAAGAATGAAATATTAGAAAACAAATACGTATAATAATTCTAGGGGCATGTTTTATGATTGAAAGCATATTTCAGAATATGTACTATTAGTCCAAAGAGGCAATTTGCTCTGAAGGACTATTAATTCACATTTTGGCATTTTACGTTGGTTCACTATAAATGTCGGTTTACTTTTCAAACTGTTGCCACCAAATATTAGAGCCCTGTGTTATATTTAAAGAAATTAAATAATGAAGCAAGCATCTCCATAAATGTATGTATGTTTCTCGCACTGGGATAAAAAACCGGCACCTAGAGCCATCAAATTTTGAACTACGTAATCTTCTACCGAATATGGTCATCTGGATAGCCAAATTTGGAATTTGAAATTTGTTTTATTATCGATTTCATATTTCGAATTTTATTTTATTTTCATATTTCGATTTTTATTATAGCGAATTTTTGATTAACAAACTCAACGATTTCAAAGTAAGGAATGGCAACACTGTACGGGAAAAAAAAAAAAACATTTTTATTTCCAGCGCGAGAGACTGTGTATCGGAAATTCTAAATCTTTGCTCATTTTAAAATTATTTTGCGATATTGCTGTTGAACTGAATTTTATGGTTTAAATGTAAAATCAGAAAGCCTTCAGATTTTTTATTTATTTATTTTTTTAACATAAGTTTAATTATCTCCTATTTTGAAATTTATTCTATACGGAATCGGATATTCAATTGCAGCATAGATTTAGCTCTTCAACATATTATTGCAGAGTAAATGGAGATTCATTACTTTTCTAACGGCTGCCGTATTTACTTACGTTTTTCTGAAATGTACTGAACGCTTCGGAATACGCAACTTAAATATTTCTTTTATGATGCGTGGAATTAACATGTTTTAAATCACAACGGCTTTCATTTCAGCTTCAGAAATAAACATCTACATACAAAACTGCGTACTCAACAAAATCGCTTATGGCAATAATTCAAGAGAACTGCTTCGAACCAGGGGAAGATCCAACCCCTGGTAGTGAACTTTTCTAGAATCATTCTGATTCTATGTTGTTGAATGAATCATCCCGATATAGTGAAGATTTGAAGAGAATCATTCTGATTCTATACTGTTGAATCAATCATCCCGATTCTGTGAAGGTTTGAAGAGAATCCTTCTGATTCTGATTCATTCACATTCTGATTCTATGCTGTTGAATGAATCATCCTGATTCCATGTTGTTGAATGAATCATCCCGATTCAGTGAAGGTTTGAAGAGAATCATCCTGATTCTGTGCTGTTGAATGAATCATCCCGATTCAATGAAGTTTGAAAAAAGTCAGCCGGATTCTGTAAAGTTTTGAGTGAATCATTCCGATTCCATGAAGTATGAAGAGAATCCTCCTGATTCTATCTTGTGCGAAGAATCATCCCGATTTAAAGAAGTTTGAAGTGAATCCTCCCTATTCAGAAATATTTGAATGAATCATCCTTATTCATTCAACGAAGTTTGAAGAGCATCATCCCAATTATATGCTGTTGATGAATCATTCCGATTCAATGAAATATAAAGCGAATCATCCTGATTCTATGGAGTTTTGAGTGAATCATCCCGATTCCATGAAGTATGAAGAGAATCATCTTGATTCTATGCTGTGTGATGAATCATCTCGACTCAATGGAAGTATGAAGAGAATCATTCTGATTCTATGTTGTGTCATGAATCATCCCGATTCAATGAAGTTTGGAAAGAGTCATCCCGATTCAATGAAGTTTGAAAAGAGTCATCCCGATTCAATGAAGTTTGAAAAGAGTCATCCCGATTCAATGTGGTTTGAAGTGAATCCTCCCGATTCAGTAAGTTTCCAGTGAATCATCCCGATTCAATGAAGTATGAATAGAATAATTCTGATTCTGTGTTGTGTGATGAATCATCCCGATTCAGGAATGTTTGAATGAATTATCCTGATTCAATGAAGTTTGAAGAAAATAATCCAGATTCTATGCTGTTGATGAATCATTCCGATTCAATGAAGTTTGAAAAGAATCATTCCGATTCAATAAAGTTTGAAAAGAATCATTCCGATTCAATGAAGTTTGAAAAGAATCATCCCGATTCACCGAAATATGGAGGGAATCATCTTGATTCTATGAAATTTTGTGTGAATCATGTTGATTCAGTGAAGTTTGAAGAGTATCATCCTAATTCTATGCTGTGCCATGAATCATCCTGATTCAATAAAGCTTGAAGGGAATCATCCAGATTCTATGCTGCTGATGAATCATCCCGATTTAATGAAGAATATGACAAGCAAAAATATATTATGGTCGTCGACGTCAAAAGGCTTCTTACAAAACAGGTGATAGAGTATGGGTAACGTTACATCCTATTTGCAGACCAAAGAAACATATTTCTGGCTCTTCGTCGAGACTTCGCACGAGCCAGAGGGGGAATCTGTAACCCCACTACCACCTAGCGACTGCCGGAGGAAACACGAGCCAAAAAAAGACTATAGCCTTCAGTCGATGTACTGTAGTCTTGGGCTAAGCATGTTGTTCCCCGAGATCTATTTTGTAACTGAAATGTGTATGTAATTATAACGCCCTTAATTGTAATGTTTTATGTTAATTGTGTTTTGTTAATTAAAGCTAATTAAAAAGGCCAGATGAGTCTTTTGCTTATGGTAGTTTGGTTATAGAATGCAATATTTGATAAACTTCTAAAAATCTGCTTTGGGTGAGAATCCTTTAATGTGATTAACTCCTCTTTTTTTTTTTTTTTTTGATGAAAAACTTTTATTTCTGAAAATACTGATCCCTAATTTTTTTATATGGAAATATTTATGTTTACACTGTCCAATAAAGATGGATTAAATGAGATACAGTGAAACCTCGGGTAACGAATTTAATTCGACCCTCAAGGCCGCTAGTGATTCGAAATCCCAAATTACTGTAAAATAGATTAATTTGTTATTGGATTACAGATGAGTATTAAAAATTTACATAAGTACTCTTTGCACAAAGTTCGCAAAAGAAAAATAACAAAATTAATACAAATCATTAGACGGCAAAAACAAGCAATATTAAACAAATGAAAGAGACAAAAATTTTAATTAATTTTAAGAGGATTTATTTTGAGAATCCCAAGCGCAAAAAATCATGGGTAGACTCAGGGGCACCATCAACTCGACTGCAAAACCAAATCACTTTGGCAGAAAGAGGATGCTCTGTGTTTGGTGGAAACAGAGGGGCGTGGCTTACTATGAGCTGTTAAAACCTGGGGAAACGGTTAATACTAAACGTTGCCAACAACAACTGACCGATATGAAACCGTTCGCTGCTTGAAAAACGCCAGAATACCGAAAGAGGCAACACAAAGTCATTTCTCTTCATGACAAATCTCCATAACATACGGCAAAACCGGTTCACGACACTTTGGAAGCACACTATTGGGAAGTTTTACCTCAAGCGACTTACTCACAAGACTTGGTTCCTTCCGATTATCTCTTGTTTGCATCGATGGGTGACGCACTTGCTGAGAAGCGCTTTGGTTCATGAAAAAAGAGCTTGATGAATGGTTCTCAGCAAAAAAGAGAAGATTTTTACTGGCGTGGTATTCACAAATTGCCCGAAAGATGGAAAAATGTATACCAAACGATGAAGCATACTTTGAATAAAGCACTTTTTATCATTCTTGCGGATTTAACATGCTTTTTTAGGGGAAAAATTTCCCATTTAATACTTATACACCTGGTAAAAAGCACCATACCCCTTCGAACAAAAGTACCTCGTGGAAGAAACATTTTACGTTGAGTTTATTAGCATATATATTCGAAAAATTATTCAAATTAACTTATTTAATCAGTTAATGTCATATTTTCTTTATCTCGTATATCAAACGTAATTGTACGTGGTCCCTTTGTTCGTTATAAGTCAAAAGTCATTTCAAATTATACCTAAAAAAGGACTCAGTTGCATCTTTCATAACTTTTTATTCATGCATAAAAATATTATGGAATTTATTAAGCTTTTCATTTATTCTTCTGGTTATTTTCAACGAAGGATAGCTGTTGTGTGCTAATGATGTTTAAAAACTGCGCAAGCTATTGCCATCCATAATATTGCTAAAATTTTTGCTCCTGAAGTTTTTAAATCGTTATTACCACTTCTTTCGCTGAAAAATAAGACTAAAAAATGCGATAAATTTACTCCGAAATGTTAATTAGATTAAAAAATTCCAATGCTCCATGCAAAGAAACTGAAGATAAATTACTTTCAATTATCCCGCGAGCGAATAAAAAAAGTTCATGAATGGGAAAAAGAAAATCATTAAACAAAAGTATATTCTAAAAGACTGCCAAGAGTTACAACAACAAGGAAGACAAAAAATATTCTAAAGACGTCATTCTGCTTCATCCGAGGACTTTTAGTTAAATACGTTCTGTCTTGTGTAAACATGGAGGCGAAAATGAATACAAGATTCTTTTGACAAAATGAGGTTAACAACGTCGAGATAAGAAGAGACACTTTATAATAAAATGGCGATTAACACTTGCTGCAAAAATGAAAAAAGATCTGGTTTTGGCCTCTATATGTAATAATTCAGCACGCACA